GTACTATTCTCAAATAGACTTTTTATTTATCAATAAGTTTATTTATCTTATTTTTTTTATTTTTCTATATTATCTTTTTTATTTTTATATTTTTTTATATTATCTTATTTATTTTATTTTTATTTATCAATAACTTTTATTTATCAATAAGTTTAAAGTTTTAAAGTATAATCTCTCAGCGTTCAAAAATTATGACCATATAAAACACGTAACCCCCTCAAAATGAGGAAGTTCAAACTTTATATGGTCATAACTTTTGAACGGTGAAATATTTTACGATGAAATTTAAGATTTATCTATGAATATAAATTCAGTTGAGAATAGTAAAAGAAAAATTTGATCAACTTGTTATTCTCACGTATACGGCAGGAGGGTGAGATGGCGAAAATTTTAGGGCTTTTTTGTTTCCAGTCTTTATTTTAAAGCATTCATATATGACAATAGTATAAAACATATTAATGTTTGGAGTTTGCTCTCTAAGGTCAAAAACTGCTGGATTCGTCCCAGGATCCAGGAAGTGTACGAAGACTTATCACAGAGCAACGCGGAAGAGCATTTAACTAGGAAGTTAATACCTCCTTCCTTACCAACCTCGTTAACAATGTCATTTATCTGGCCAGAGCCGGCCAGATAAATGACATTATTCCCATTACTATTTAAATATTATTTAAATAAAGAATTTTCTTTATGAAGCGCATCTGTTAAATTTAAATTATTTTCTTTTAAAACAAGTAAAGGTATTCTTGTTGTTATTAACAATAAAATTGTTAAATTTAAAAAGTTAAATTAAATTTTATTATTAAAGCTTTCAATTATCTTTAATAAATTAAATAAACAATATGCGCAAACATGTAATGTTAAATTCATCAGCCCCTCCAACTGATTTGGTAAAATGTTTAGTAAGCTAGCTTGCTAAAATTTTAAACGAAAATGCATATCCATTACATCATTTATTGATGTTTGAAAGTAATACAACAAATATTTTATTCTTTGTTTTATTTTTATATAATATCGAATGAATTGTTAAATATAGTGTAATGAGATTGTGTAAATAAATGTCTATGAAAATCATTTTTAAAAATTTCCAAATGTAAATTAAGTATAAAAGAAAATTCTTAAAAACGCTTTTAATGTCCGTCCTAAAAATGTTATCGACCCTAGGCTACCAACTACTCATCTAACAGTAAAGTAATTGTTCCATTCTTAAATCTTGTTAATAAAAAAATGCAACCAAAAGTTACACTTTGCATTTTATTGACTATTTTTATTGATTACAGTTTTTTCAAAGGGTCTAAACTGAGATATCCCAGCCAGCATTTGGTCTAAAAAAAAAACGTTCAAAAGACATTTAAAAGACATTTTTTAGCCAGCTGGGGTATTTTATATTTAAAAATAAAAAAAAGTAAAATAAAAAAAAGTTATTTATAGTTTATTTATTATGTTACATATTATATAACTTACGTCAGCATTTGAGATGACATTTTTAGTAATACTTTTAGTAATACTTTTGTTATTATAGTTTTTATTTAAAGCTTTTTATGTAAAATATTCTTTAGTTAAAGAATTTACTACAAATTATTATACTAAATATTTTTTAAAAATTCAAATAAAAAAAAAAAAAAAAAAAGAGAAAAAGGAAAATTGTTTTAGTCAGTAAAATAAAACATTTTCCCGATCTTTGCCTAATATTGAAATGGATGTTCTTTATGCATATTAAACTTGGTTGCGTATTGGTACTCAAAGCATTACTAAATACCCGTCACAAGCATCTTATTTTCAACAAAAGTTGACTTTGTTTTATGTAGCGAAGAACTTATAAAAATCAGAACAAGAAACTCTTCTAATTTTATTTTTTCCTTCGGTTTATAAGTAGTATAATATTAACAAAAAAAAGTATTTATTGTAAAAACATTTTACAACAAACAAATTATTTTCTCATATTTAAAGGTAAAAACTAATTTGAAAGGATAGATGACGAAAAAATTTTAAATGGCATGTAGCAAATAAATAACATTAAAATTATTTCTGGGTTTGTCTTCTCATGTCATCCTAAAGATGCGAAGAGCTAGTACGATTTTCCTCGCTGGCAATTGAATAAATTTACATAGCAGGATTAAACACTTGGGTTTTACACGGGGTAGGAGATTTGCCCCACTTGATCAGGAAAACACGAAGGAAAAAGTATCAAATTTTCTGGTAATAACCCAAACTCTTTTTTTATCTGGGATTCGATTTAAATATCAAAGATCTATAACTTAATTATATCAAAATTTGGCAATCAAAATTAAATCTTACAATCCGGAACTTTGCAAAAACAATGATGTAACACAGTAGCAAAAGTTCGGCAGAATCGAAAGGAGTGCATTAACTAGCGGAATCGAAAGGAGTGTATTAATTTTCAAAATACTGAAGTTTTTTGAATTCTTTTTGAATTTGAATTCCTTAGTAGAATGGTTAAGTATAAATGCATATAAGGTGGTATGTAACCTATTAACTGCTAAATCATTTAGCTGCTTTAGCTAAAACACTGAGCTGTTAAAACCATACTCTTTTTTCACAATAAATGGCTTCATTGAGATTAAAAAACACAAAATAAATAAAAAACAAGCTCCAGCTTCTTATCTATTTTTTCTCCGAAAAATATATATTTGTCATATTTGTTATTGATTCTGTCAAAAATGATAAGTGTGATAAATAAAAATTGACAAGTGGGATAAATATTTCTGTCAATCAATTTGACTAAGTAACTTGAAAAAGTCAACTTCCGCATTAATTATGTTGCATTTTCAATTTACTATTTAATACACTTTATGCGTTATGAACGCATTTTATAAAAAGTAGTATTTTATAATAAAAAAGAGTTTTTACTATTATTGTAACGATTGTGAAATTAGCTTGCAAAATAGAACCAACACTCAAGCGTCGTACTTTTTTTGTATAAATGATTTTTAATTAATTTATTTGGTGCAATTTTATTCGACAATATTTTGATGCTGCACAACCTTTAGTTATTAAAAGTTAAATAAACAATTTGTTACAAATCAACAGTGTAAATAATTTACTTGGCTTATTCTAACAAGTGTTAGGTGAAACTTAAATTCACTCACCCATAAAAAATGTTTTCAGGGAGTTTGGTATGCAAAAACAACAAACAATAACAATAATTATTAATGGATTTAAATAATGCATCAATAATGTAAATAAAATGCTATCGACGTAAAAAAACCGCAAATAGGCGCACGTACGGACCATCTCTGCGTGCAGTTTATTTGTGCTTTAACAAAGTATAAGGCGTTTAAATATATAAAATATATAAAGACGTAGCTTGTGTTGTGCTGACAGTAGTAGATGTCACTGTTTAAGTGACATTCATGCAAACAGCGGACTTAAAATTTTTTTTATTGTTTTATCCAATAAAGTTTGAATAATAATTTGATAAAATTATTTTCTAATAAAACGTTTTTAACCAAATAAATATTTATTAGTTGAGCTATTTTATGTTATAAATGTTAAATAAACTATTTATAAAAAATTTGACTTTAAGTAAATAACATTTTGTGTTCTCTGCGTGTTACCAGGTTTTTAATTCTGATGCGCTAAAGCAGAGGAGCCATTCCACGTTTTTATTACCTAGTTTAATCGTTTATTTCATAGTTTAATCGTTTATTTTGTAGTTTAATCGTTTATTTCGTAGATTAATCGTTTATTCCCAAGTTTAATCGTTTGGCGTATCTTTGCATTTTTAAAGGTTTATAATTGAAATCCAACACGATAAAAATTTTCTCTCATTAGATTCTTCACTGATTTTTTCTTGAAAAAAAAATTGATTTAGAGTTAAAAAGTTAAGAAAAATAAAAAGAGATTTGAAAGGTAGAAAACGAGAGGAGTTTTGTTCTTAGTTAGCTTTTAAATGACCTCAAAATAAGCAACACAATAAACCTTGAGTTGTCCTTAGTGCGCAATCTTTAGGTGCTTTTTTTTTGCAGCTCTAAGAAACCAATCCAAATTATCCCATAATCAAAACACGAGAAAGCTTATCATATAAGACTTACGAATAAACAAACAAAAGTAAACGAAATCAATAATAAGATTTAAAGTAATTTAAAAAACTAGTTTTGTACTTTAAATAGTTTAAGTGACAAAAACATGAGCAATAACTTTAAATCCATAACTTGAGCATTGACTCATTACCATCAAATCACGATTACCACCTTTTTTTTTTTTTCAAAGGAAATCCATATTACAGGCTTTTTATAAGTTTGGTTAATTTATTTATATTTTATATACTTTAAAAGTTAATTCGTAATTACAAGTTATTAAAGAATATATTAATAAAATAATATTCTTTAAATAATTAAAACTATTCTCTCACAAAGCAAAAATAGCAATTCTCTTTTAAAAAAATCTTTAAAAAATTCTTTATAATTAAAATGAATTTAAATAAAAACTTTGAATTAAATTTAACCATTTACGATGAAAAAGTTATAACAAAACAAACATTAAAAAAAATAAAAAAAATATTTACAAAAAAAAAAAAGAAAAAATGGAAAAAAAACCCCTTAAAAACCTCTGTTATTAGAACAAAAACAATTCCTCAGTGAATTCATTATATGTATTTGTAAATTGTAAACAGAACAGTATTAAAATATATCATAATACATTATTATAAAATATTACACTATATTGTAAAAATATTAGAAGAGACCGCATTTTATAAGATAATTAATTCTTACTGCTTTAATGCATTGTTAAGGTTGAAATTGAAAACAAGTGTTGTTGCTGGTTTGAATTGTTATTTATGCTGTTATGCTTTGTTTATGCTGATATGTATTGTGTATTCTATATGCTGGTATGTATAGTGGTATTGAACTGTATATGCTGGTATGTATTGTGGTATTGAACTGTGTATGCTGGTATGTGTAGTGTACTGTGCATGCTGGTATGTATTGTGTGCTGTGTATCATAAGTAATTAAAAATTTAATAACTATTTATGTTTTACTTTTTTAAGTATTCATTTTATTCACATTAAATATCTAAGCATAAATATACATTTATATCATTTCAAAAAAAAAAAAATTAAAAAAAAATTTCAATTTTGTTGATAAATTAGTTTAAAGACATTCGCATTCTGTAACTTGCAGGTTTTCCAACTGTACAAGTTTATATACTTCTCTGTTAGAAGAGCGATCATTTAATATTGCTGATGCTGGTAAAAATTTTGTTGGAGCACAGCAAGGATAGTTCACATTATCATCTTGAAGCACATCAGCGTACAAAGCTTGCAATATTGAATGACTTGTTTGACCTAGGTAATCTTCATCGTTTTTATGGAAGCATCGACCTTTGCATTGGTTAATGGAAAAACTTTTAGGCATTATAAACAAATTATGCCAATCTATTAGTTCTAATGGTACAACTAAAGGCTCAACTCCGCATAATTTACTTTCTCTACCATCCTCTGACCTGCGAACTCTATTGCCTACGTCGTTTATATTTTTTGATTTTTTATTCATACCTAATATTGGTTGTAATTCATTTTTTTTTAAAAGTGAAAGTAGTGACAACTCTCTTTTCTCTTTTGTAAAAGTTATCAAAGCGGAATCATGTCGGTAAAAGTTGTTAAAATTTAAATCAAAACGTACACTAGATCCATTTAGTTTTTGAACTAAAATATTTAGACCGCGATTATGAGTTCTGTTATCAATCCAGTCTTGAACTACCTTAGTGACGGGAAAAACCTGCCAACCGTAACTATAAAAACTCATTTTTTTTGAACTGACAGTTTTGTTATTAAATAAGTTAGTAACAATTACTTGTAGAACATCTGTTTGAAAACGGTTTTTTGAGTAATGACTTTTAAACAATCTCAATTCTGCTTTTTTTAAAATTTCTTGTTGGTTATCAATATCCGATACGTTAAATAAACAATAGTGAGTTTTGCTTTTTGATTTTGTATCTAAAATATATATATATATATATATATATATATATATATATATATATATATATATATATATATATATATATATATATATATATATGTATATATATATGTACATATAGATAGTATAAAATATATAACAGTATTAAATGTATAACAATGTATAATAAAAAAAAAAATGATCAAGTTTTTATAGATAAAATTTTTATATAATGATGAATACTTTGAAATAACCATTATCATATTAAGGAGGTTGACACCCTAGACACCCTAGACACCTTTGTATCTGGAGAATAATAATAACGTTTTACATGGAATAAAAATCTGTGTGTGTGTGTGTCTGTGAGTGTGCGTGTACGCGTGTATGTGTATGTGTGTATGTGTATGATTATGTGTGTATGTGTATGTATGTATATGCGTGTACGCGTGTTTCTGTCTATGTGAATATAAAAATTTAATCACAAAATTTCCTTTTATATTTTTACTTAACTATTTTTTTAATTTTTTTGTAAATTGAGAGAATATAGAATATAAAACACATTTAAAACGAAAGAAACATTTTTACTTACTTAAGTCATTGTAGCTGCGTGCCACATTTCCATCGTGCAAAAGATCACCAGACATATTTTTACTGGACAAGCTTTTGTATAAATTTCGTAAATATTGAGGAACATTTTCATTATCGTAAAGTCTTCCTAATCCCTGCATCTCTGCATAGACAGATATATTACCTTGATTAGATTTGGATAAAGGCTGTCCCAAAGTCAATCTGACGGTGTAAAACAAATATACAAAAACTGCATTCGATTTCCATTTCATTTTAATGCTTTCCTTCTTAAAGCTTAAATTTCCTGCACCGAAATATTGTAAAATAAAACTATAAACTTTCTAGTCTATACTTTATGAGCTACACTTCCAAATCATTTTTGCATGTAGTCTTTTGCTTTCAAAATAGAAAAATAAAAATAAAAAAGTTCCCATACAGTCTCAAACCTTACTATTAACGTAATGTTAAAACACAAAAAGTTCAAAGCTAGGAAGATTAAAGTAAATACTTCAAATCAATAATATCGTGACGTCATATTTTCTTAGATTGAATGATAATTGAAAAGTCCAATACAATAGTAAAAAATTTAAAATCTTGACATAAGTTTAAATTTAATGTCGATCTTGGGTAAATAAATGCTTTTAACTGAACTCTTCAACTTCTTTTTTAGCGGACTAATTTAAGGACCAAAAATATCAAATGTCATCAAATGTCATTATTTTAAAGATTAAAAAACATATTAAACAAACAAAATTGCGCTTTTACCCAGTTTTAATTAATGCGATGACTCGCAACAGAAGAATGTTAAGCAATAAAGAAGACATTTTTATTTGTTCTTGTATAAAATTGAAATTGCAAAAAAAAAAAAAAAAAAAAAAGAAGAGAGAAGCAAATTTGATTAAAAATATTGCCCACGAAGTACTTAAAGACTTTTTTTTTTAAAGCTTAAAAGAAGTCTCATAAAATCGTTTATAATCAAAGCATTTTACATTTTTAGATGAAATAACTTCGTGTTTTTGCTATGTTATTTTTATCTTATATTTTATGTAAGTATTTTACGTAACATAAGAACAAGTATCTAACATTTTAGACCAAGAAACAGCAAGAACATATTTAAGACAAAAATAAAATAAAAAAATGTTAAACTTTTAAAAAATAATAAAATTTAAATGTTTAAAACAACAAGTTATTTCCGCTGGCTACATCCGACTCGTATAATTAAATTCAAAAACGCTTTCACATTTGAAGAAAGTGGGGCATGATGATCGAACTTCAATAATAAAAATAAAAAATAAATACACAAATTAATCTTGAGTAATTTAATTGCGTTATAAATGGAAGTATTTTCTTTATGTTAACAATAAATTAATTATTATAAATTAGATTATCAGTGTTCTTTTCTTTTTATCATTTAATGAACTTAATTTATCTTAAGAGTAAAAAATGTGTAAAGCAAAAAGAACAGTAAGTAAAAAAAAGAAAGTTAAATAAAAAAAATAAGAACGATAAGTAACAAAAAAAAGACCATGGTTTTACAAAAAAAAGATTAAGCAGTGTCGATGTAGTCAGTACTTAATTGGATTTTATTATAACCCTACTGTAATAAATTTGATTGGTTCACATACCAGTATAAATACTGGTATTAAACATATTCGTGATTTACAGAGTTAATATTGAAAATAGGTCTTGTCTTACAAGAAATTTTTGAATGTACCATGTTTTATCCTGTAGCTGAATTGCGTTAATATGCTATTGATGACATCGTTGTTGATGTTGTTGTATACTGCGATCGTAAATGACGGAGTAAATGCCTTTTATGAATTATCAATGGATAATGTATGGGGCCAATCTGCAGAGCCTGCACATTGGTTTGACATCAAAAAAAAAGGTCTTGAAAACATTCTAGATCTACTAATAATTACAAGTGATTTGTAAAGAGTTTTTTTTAGTTACTTAGTTCTAAGAAGTCTACTTGGTCTTATCACAGAGCACTATAAAAATAGCATTTAACTAAGAAGTTCACGCATTCTTCCTTACCAAATTTTGTATATATGGCCGGAGCCTGATTCGAAACACATGTCTTCAGTTCTAAAGTCAGAACTCTAACCGCTACACCAAAGCAGCTAGAAAACAATAAAAGTTTCATTAATTTTGAAGCCATTTAACATTTTATTGATAATTAATAAATAAAATAAGAAGTCCATTCAAAATGTATTGGTAAAAGATTTAAGGGAAAAAGGTTATGTTTGTTGTGGTTATCTCACAGTTGCGGTAATTGATTCCATGCGAAAAACTTGGTGTTTTTATTAGTCAAAATACTGGAAACTAAGCAGGTAAGAAAGCAATTCCATAAGCAACATTGATTAATGATGCTTATGAACTGTTTAATTACTCTCCTACCGGAAGCAATGCCTGGAGCAAGTTTGACATTGATAAAGCATATATATGCTTTATCAATGTCATAATGCTTATAAGCCAGTTCCAATGAACATCGTTTTTTTAAAAATTAAATTTATTTTTCAACATTGTACAATAGTTTTTATGCCAACTTAATGTTGGCATAAAAACTATAGTTTTTTAAAATTTTTACATCTTGCCAGATGCTTTGTGGTTAAAGATTGCAATAAAATGTGCAAAAAATGAATGTCTTTCTACTTATAAAATGAAAAAAAGTTACAGATTTAGACGAGTTAAAAAGAGAAAAAAAACAAAACACCAAATAACAATAATTTAAAAAAAGGGAGTAAAAATTATAAGGCAGGTGGCTTTTAAATTTTATTTTTATGATTTTGAAGTAGTTTGCAGTTTTTTTGTGTGTGTTATTTTGGTGTTGTTTAATAAAAAAATATTGATTTGCTTTTTTTTCTGAAGTATTAAAGGCGCCGGCCATTATACCTCTCGAACCTCTTAAGAATCGTTTTTTAAATTTTCAGGGTATGTTTATTAAAAAACTTCGAGTGTTTTATGTTGATTTTTTTTTATCCTGCTGTTATTACTGTTTTAAATCTATATTGTTAAACACTGGACTTTGACCACATAAAATTTGATATGATATTTGTTTTTTAAAAATCTGGTTAACGTAAAACATTTTATGTAAAGATCCTACAAAATTTTTTAACTAGGGTTAATATATTCCTCCGAAAGAATAAAATTCTTTTAAAATTCTATATAATTTCTATTAACTTTTATAAAGATTTTTATAGAAAATTTTTTTTTCTACTTTTTTTTTTTACAGAAGAAAAGTTTTATAGGAATTTCTATAGAAATTAATAGACACCCTATAGAAGTTCTTTAGAGCCATATGTTTTAAAAGTTTATAGAAAATTCTATAGAACTTTTTTTCCTGGGTACATATATATATATATATATATATATATATATATATATATATATATATATATATATATATATATATATATATATACATGCTCATATATAATATATAAATATATATGTATATATAAATGTGTATGTATATATATATATATATATATATATATATATATATATATATATATATATATATATATATATATATATATATATATATACATGCTAATATATAATATATAAATATATATGTACATATAAATATATATGTATATATATATATATATATATATATATATATATATATATATATATACATGTATATATATGTATATATATATATATATATATATGTTCATATATATATATATATGTTCATATATATATATATATATATATATATATATATATATATATGTTCATATATGTATATATAAATATGTATGTATATATAAATATATATAAATATATATGTATATATATATATATATATATATATATATATATATATATATATATATATATATATATATATATATATATATATATATATATATATATACATATATAAATGGTCTATAGAAATTTTCTAAAATATTTTATAGAATTTGTATAGAATCTCTGTTAATTTCTATAGAAATTCCTATAGACCTTTTTTTTCTGCTTTTTTTTATATAGAAAATAATGTTTTATAGCAATTTCGTCAGCGTTATATATAAAGATCTACAATATTCTATTGTAGACCTTTTTTTCCTGGGTATATATAATAAGCCTATAGCTTGTTTTTCATAAAGGTCAAGTTTCGAGAGTTTTAAAAGTACTGTTAGGGATATTAGGAAAACCTTTAAAGAATTTTCTACTTTCACGAGTTTTTAATTCATTTAGTTACAATTTTTCATGCATTGAAAGTTTATTCTATATTAATAAACTACTCCCTTTTTTATTTATTTACCAAAATTAAGACTAAATAATATTATTTTTAATATGTACCTAAAATAAATTGCTCTTTCAAATTTATTTCTAAATTAATAACTTATATTTTGTAAGAATGTGTTTTTTAAAAAACACATTCTTACAAAACACATAATTTGAAAGTTTTCTAATTACTTAAAACTAATTACTTACGTGAAAATGTCAGATAAACTAATTTACTGAAAAAATGTTACGTATTTATCAATTTTTTCATGTTTTCTTCAATAAAATATGCTATAATAAATGTATAGTTTGTTAAAATAACCAAAAAAGATAATCTGGCCAAAAACAATAAATGTAACAGTTGTAAACCTGTTATAACAGCAATAACACAGCATTTTTTATCAATTAAAAAAAGTTAAAACGTTAGGTGTTTTAGCAAATACTTTGAATGAATTTTTTCCTTAATTTAATATCATCTTAATGAATTATCTCCTTTATAACTAACAAAAAACAAACAAAAATAAATCGCATAGGAAAATTGGCACGCACATTTTGTTAAAGTTTATTATCCATAATATGGATAATAGACATTCCAAAATTTATATAAAGTAAAACTGTAGAGGATTTATGGATAATAAATCCTTTACAGTTTTACTTTTACAAATAAATAATTCTTATATTCCAATATTTTTACTTTATGCAAATTTCACTATGGTTACTTTCACTATCGTTACATACCATATTACTACCATATACATACACAGAAAATGTTCTCCTTTAAGGTGGTTCACCTATAAAAAACAGTATATAAAAATTGGCATAAATATGCACTCCACATATACAGTTCTTTTTATAAATTAATAAAACAGATGATATTAAAATGAAAAATAAACTTGAAATAAATTTGCCTTGATTATCTTTACTTTTTTGTACAGTTTTGTGTTAAAAATTTAAGCTTTCATTACATGATTACTGAAAAAGTTATGGTACTAAAAGTATGCATACTTTTTCTAAAATACCATATTATTCATTTGGGCCTTGTTTTATAGAAATATTTGCTTCAATATTATACAATTGCATTTTTTGTGAAGATTGCTCTAAAAACCATCGTTATTGCAAAAAAACTATTAATTGACATCATTATTTTTATATAAAATGAAATAACTGTAAAATTTTTAGTCAAAAGCAAGTGTTTAAGTCTTAAGTCAAAAGCAAGTGATTAATTAAAACAATGAGGTTTTGAACTTTTGAAAAATTACGAAACTTTTAATCGAGAAAATCAAGTTTTTTAAAATTAGGCACTTACAACCTAAAATAACATATCAAAATCCCCCACGCATTTTAGAAGTGATAAAAGATTTTTTAAATTTCAAATACAGAAAAAGGTCTTATAAATAAAATGAATATAATGTGCTGAGCAATTCTTAATCATTCAGTACCTGCGCAGTACCTGCGCGCGTTGTTTTGCATATTATAAGTAAGATTTTGTTTTATAACAAAAAAACTAAAAAAGATTTCTTAAAAGTTTTTTTACAATTGAATAAGTTTTGTACTTAATTCATCCGAAATAATTAAATTGGTTTGGTGGATTTTTTCTGAACCTTATTTTGGTGAACTACCACTAAGCATTAAATATAAAATTGTTACAATATCTTTAATTCCCAAAACATTTAATCGATATTTTGCTAGTATAGGTTTCACTTTTTCAATCCAGCATCCATTTTTCTTTAAAAAAGGTTGTTTATTCTGATAAATTTAAAATTGCAGTTTTATCAGATAATGTATCTTATTCTGAAAATCACATACCAATTTCATTTCTTCTAAAACAATTTCGGTCTGGTAATTCAACTGAGCATGTCTTTATTAATCAAGATTAACGGAAAAAGTTTTAGGCAAATATTTTATACAAAAATATAAACAAAACTAAATTTTTCATAAACTTCACGATAAATAAAAGATTCCATTAAAACTTCCTGATATTGGCAACTCTAACTTAATTAGAGAGCCATCATCAAATTTTTTAGTGTGATACTCGATTTAGTGTGATAAAATAAAATCTCAGAAATTATATAATATATATATATATATATATACTTATTATATAATATATATTAAAATATTATATATAAAATATTATATAAAAACTTATTATATAATATATATATATAATCAAACTTACAACATAAAATAAGTATATAATCAATGTAATAATTAATAATCAACAACTTAATCAAAATAATTTTTTCAATTGGAAATTTATAATACAATATTGAATTTATTTTTTACCTAAATAACCAGACTTATGATAATAACTGAAAAATGAAGCCAAATTAGATTTAGCATTTTTTGATTACTTCTAAAAAAAACGTTCCGTAGAATTCCTAAGTAGCGTAATACGACTTAGCTTACATGTAATTTAAGTATTGTATTCTTATTTTGTGTGTGTGTTTTTTTATGTTTATTTTATTTTGCCCTTTTAAACAATGATAATCAATTTAAATTTTTTAATGTAAGATTTTTTAGTCTTTTCCATAACTTGGGCCTTGTGACGTATTTGAGAATTCTAAATAATGACTTTTAGTTTTGTGACATAAATGAAAACTCTGAATACTGGCTTTTAGTTTTATCAACATTATAGTTATAGAATCAATTTGAACGTAAATTATAAGTTGCAAAAGTTTTGTCATATATATATATATATATATATATATATATATATACACATTTTTTTTTTTAGGAGCATGCTATTTTTATTTTTATATGAAAACAAAAATCTGATCCAAGTTAATTTTTTAATAGGATTATCCAATCTACTTAAATAACGAATTGCTTTACACGCATGATTTTGCAAACTTTGTAATTTAAGTCATTTTAACTCGTATAATATTAGAATATTAGGGATGGATTAGACTAAAATAAATATTTTTTTGTCAAACTAAAATCAAGATGTGATCAAGATTTATATAAAATTGCAGAAGATATTTTTTAGTCAATTTGGTCTACACAATTTCTCCATAACAAATATTTTTGTACACCTAGAAACTTTGAATAATTTTCCCGTTTTATTGCTTGATGATTAATGGGCAATTCTGGAATTTTCAATGAAAGCTTTATTGATTGACCGGTTTAATGAAATAAAACGTAACTAAAAAGTAAAGAGTTTTTTTCACAATTTAAAGTTTATTAAAAAGTTTGTAATTATAGATTATATAGTTAAACACTAAACTCTAAACAATAATTTGAAGATTTCTAATTCAGTATTTTGTTTAGTAGTTTAGCATTGTAACAAACATTTTAAATTATTATATTTGAAAAACAAAGTCGTATCATCTGCATACATTATTGAAAATACTTTTAAGGACGCCCTTTGCATGTTATTGATATAAATTAAAAAGAATCCACCAATCCTAGAATCAAAATATCAATTGACTCCTGTTTAAACTAAGAAACTGCTTATTTTTATTCATTTATAAATAAATTTGATGTCAAAATGTTTTAATTTTAATATCAAAATTCCTTAGTTATCAGTATTAAATGCCTTTAAAAGGTCGATAAATACGCCCGGTACCTTATCACTTTTATCGTAAGATTAAAATACTTTATTTTTATCTGTTCAAAAATAGCATGCTCAGTCGACAACTTTTTTGAAAATTTAAATGATATTTATATAAAAGTTTGTTTAAAGTCAAGTATGTATAAATTTAATTATAAATTACTTATTTTATAAGTTTTACGAAATAAGTAATTTATAAACGAAATAGTGAAATTAGAAAGTAGTTAGACATTACAATCGCTTTTTTTATAAAAAGATTTGACTTCAGCAACTTTTAATTTTTTCAGGATATGAGCTATGCTTAAATGATGTAATAAAGCAAATGAAGGTTTTCTTAAAGATTCTAAAAGGTGAATTACTACATTACTAGTAATGTCGTAATAGCCACACGACTTATTTAACTTTAGTTCAAGCACCGACTTGTTAAACTCTTATTAAGATACCGGGGTTTGTCTCCAATAAACTTATCAATTTTCTAATTGGTTTCTGTATTTCTGAAGCAAAACTCAGACCAACATTTACAAAGTAATTGTTAAGTTCGTGGTAAACAATATTTGTTTTGGTATGGTAAAAGTATTCTTTTTAGACAAAAACTTGCTGTTAAAATTGTTTCGAATGCAGACCACACATTCTAAAGAACTATTCAAAAGTCATCATCTACTGTTTTTAGCTAAACCTTTATCAAATTCTTAAAATGTTAAACATCAATTTGTTTTTCCAGTTTAATATTTGTAAAACATGCTTTACAATGAAAGCGCGTCACAGTTTTTTTCTATTACGGGCATAGTAATAGATCAAAAATTGTATTTTTTTGTCCTGGTCATGTAGATATTATTTAATATAATACGACATTGCTTGTATTTATTATTATTTTTTTTTTATGCCGACAAAATAGGTAAAAAAAATGGCCGCGGTGTCAACACGCAACAATTTTAATTAACTCTGGTGCATACATTAAACTATCTGATTGGGGCATTGGTAGAACTTACAATGACGTCATCTTTTTAGATATCAACTCTTTGTAACACCAAGGTCAATCTAATCAATAGTTTTAATGCTACACCATGGAGACATTGGTACAAGCTTTCATCAACCCATATAGTCATAAGTTGAACATCAGAGCTGTTGTTTGTTTGATGACTCAGAGCTGTTTTAACACGCAAGATTATTTCAAACCACTATAAAATTGAATTTAACAAAGCAGGAATAAACAAAAATATTTGTTAATGCAAAAGATATGTGAATGTAAAAATTAAGTTTTATGATGATTTAGGCAAGCAGCATATAATTTGCAGGCGTTATGTTAAACGACCCTTGAGATTGCTTTGCAATAATAAAAAAAATAATTAATTAAACCGTTAAAAATTGCGTCAATACTGAAACATTTTAAATCAAAAAAATCTCTGTACAAATGTGGGTGAAGGTATGCAAAGGCGGGTGAAGGTGTACAAAAGGTGGGTAAAGTAGTAAAAAGGTGGGTGAAGGTGTACAAAGGTTGTTGAAGGTGCACAAAATGTGGCTGAAGGTGTACAAAGATGGATGCTTAAATGGTCTGGACAATGCTGTTTAGACATCAAATCGGATGGATAAAAAATAATTAATTCGTGCAGTGACTTACTGACCTAAATATTCCAATTATTTAAAAAATTCCGGAAAGTTTAGTATAAGTTTAATCAAATAATTATTAATTAAACGGAACAAGTTTTAGTTATAGAATTGTAGTCGTAAATGACACTTAATACATATAACCTTTTAGATCGTACTTATTTGCAAATAATATTTTGGTAATTTATTTACCTAAATTTTGGTTATACATTCTGCAGCCACTAGATATTGAAATTTGTTGCCATTTCAAAAGAGTTTAGCGCAAATTAATTTAACAGTTTTATGCAGAGACATGACAGCAGTTCACCTCAAAAATGATTTAACCAACTGCAAGCAAAACTTTTCAGCTCTTGTAATTTTAAAAATTTAAAAGCACGAAAAGAGTCACTAGAATTGAAAATAAGGTCCAACTAGAATTGAAAATACGGTTTCACTAGAATTGAAAATACGGTTTCCACTCAGCATTAATAAAGCTGATTTACCAAAAATAAACATTGCTAAGACATTTGAAACACCATTATCTCTGAATCTTTGTCACCAAAACAACAAGAATCTGTACAAATACCCTCACAAAAAGCACCACTAGTAATTACACTTTCTGAGACACTGCCTTTTTAATCGACACCATCAAAATCTAAGGTCACAGCATACACATTGTAGCATCTGCTCCAAAGTTGGCTCTTCCGCAACCAACCTTTTTTTTCTATTTAGAAAATTTAAAATGGAATTGAAGAAAATTGCGTTCAATTTCTTGATTTACAACAAACTTTTTGCATTGAAAATGTTGACAAAATAAACCTTAAAAATGTAAACACGCCAAGATTCGATAGAAAGAGACCCAAAAAAATCGAATTAATTGAGAGATCAAAAGATTTGGACTGTTAAAAAGCTGCAAAGCATGCTAGGAGATAATGTGAGCCTCAATTTGATAATAACCATTAAATAAGTAAAGCAACAGAAGCAACTTCAACAACAACAACAACAACAACAACAACAACAACAACAACAACAACAACAACAACAACAACAACAACAACAACAACAACAACAACAACAACAACAACAACAACAACAACGACAACAACAACAACAACAACAACAACAAACCAAGTCAAGCGTTAAAAGTGACTTAACAAAACTTTGGTATTATTATCAAGCAAGGGGATACCAACAGTATTCCAGTGTCAGTTTCAAGCGGGATCATACCAACAACTTTTAGGTACCATTATCAAGCTTGATCATAGTAACAATACTTCGGTATCATCACCAAGCTGGGTAATACAAACAATATTTCGGTATCATCATCAAGCTGCCCGGTGGAAAATTGTATAGCGAATAGCTAGCTGTAATCGTTAAGATAAAGACAGCAATTTTGCCACGAGGATTGCTAGCTTTTTTAAGTTAGCGAAAAGCTATCGATATTTGTAAAGATAAAGACAGCGATTTGACTAGGAGGACAGCTAGCTTAAAAAGCTAAACACCAACTGGCTATTGTAGCTAGCGTTATATCGTAATAAAATCTCTGTCAAAAAAATTTTGATATGTAGCTATTGATATTTTGTAGCTAGCTATAAAGCTACAATATGTAGTTAGCGACACATTGCTACAATATCGCAATGTTTAAAGTTAAATTATTATCATAATTATTATAGACTCAAGATTAAAAATTGAATTTTTAAAGATGTTAAAGACATTAGGAAAAAGTAAAATAAGAAAAAAAAATCGCATGAAAATCGCTATAAAGCTAGCTAGTCGTTTGCTAATCGCTAGCTCATTTCCCACCGGGTGGGTCATACCAACATTATTTTGGGAAAATTAATATTAAAAGCAAGCAGTATCAAAATTTGAAAGAATATGAAATTTATTTGTTTGTTTGAGATTAATAAGTTTTACGATGCTTTTACAACGGTATAACATGATATGTGAACAAAATAATTTTCTAAAAATAGATAAAATACACTCAACAATCTAAAATATTAAAGAACAAATAGCAGATATCTACAGATTTTTATAGACCTGCATATTGTTTCTCTTGCTATTTTTTTAAAATAATTTTGAATATTATAACAATATATATAAGAAACTCACATTTAAAACTGTTCTCTATAATATTTCGTGCATTATGACTAGTTCAAAAATTCTAACTTGTAATGCATATATACATATATATATATATATATATATATATATATATATATATATATATATATATTATATATATATATATATATATATATATATATATATATATATATATATATATATATATATATATATATATGTATATATGCATTACAGTTATGCTAGTTGTTAGGAAATGAAATTTTTCCTTTTTAAGAAAACTGTTTATCTTATTTTTCTAGTTTGTATAGATGGAGCTCGTGGATCTTTGAATGAATGTGTTGAAAGCAACATAAAATTTCTAACTTAAAAGTAAAAAAAATACTGGGATCAAGAAAGACATTAAAGAAGATAGAGCTAGAAATTTAGAAAAAAATGAACATATAAATCTAATATCATTTATATTTTTGCCAAACATCATAAAATTTACATAAAAATCAACTTGACTTTCAATGAATATTCTAAATAAGAATAACTTACAGAACATACAGAATACAACGGCAACGGAATATTACATTAATCAAGATGTGCTCAAAAAAAGAGGGCATCCCTAATTAAAATGAAACTAACATTAAAATAAAACATTTATGTTTAAAAAATTATATTTTTAAAGAAATTATTTATTATTCTAAAAAGAAATATTTGACTAAAGTTTTTTTTAGCTTAATAAAGAGATGTTGAGCTTAATAAATAGAATATGGCCCCAGGTAATTACATATTATCATTTATTCCTCTTATGAGTCATCCTAATAAAAAAACCATAGAAGATATAAAAGGATTTTTTATTATTTCGATATTAGTTTAGCCTTTCTAAATTAAAATAAAAATTTATTTTAAATTTAGAAAGGATTATAATTTTTTTTTAATCTAGTCTTTCCATTTCATACCTATAAAGCCATACAAACAGTCTTTAGTCACTATATTTATAAATATTTAAATATTTACTATTAAAGTTATAAAATTTAACCGAATTTTTGTTAAAACTTTAGTTAACAAATCATTAATTGATTAGTAAAATATCTGTCGCGTTTGAATATGGTATTAATACCATAGTGACAGATGACCAACATTTACGCCATCGTTTTAATCAAGTGTGAATATTTTTGAATAAAATTATTTTCTCGGGTGTCTTATGTGATTGACCCTAAAATATAGGTTGCTCATAAAGTATAGTTTCTATTGTACTTTAAGAACAATTAAAACCTAAAGATTCGGAAATAAAAACTTAAAATTTTTAATATTATATATATATATATATATATATATATATATATATATATATATATATATATATATATATATATATATATATATATATATATATATATATATATATATATATATATATATATATATATATATATATATATATATATATATATATATATATATATGTATATATATATATATATATATATATATATATATATATATATATATATATAAAAATTAAAACAAGGAGTAATAATTAAATTGAAACTGCATATATAAAAATGCGCACATATTTAAGAAAAGCAAAATAGGCCTATTTTTTTTTTAATATGTGCACAATTTTATATCTGCAGTTTTAAATTAATTATTACTAAAAAAATCTTAACCTTGCTCTCACGAGAATTTAGTCCTAGGACTAAATTATCGTGAGAGCAAGGGTAAGATTTTTTTGCTGACGTCAGCGCTGTTTCTTTTTATTCAACTTGATATCGAGGAAACCTTTTTGATTAATTATTTTATAATAATATTAATTTTAACAATTTATTGCATTCATTTTTGGAAGAATAAGTGTTGACTTTAATTTTATGTATAACTTTATTTTAAATAACATTAAAGTTTACTATATAAATATTTAAAACAAATAAATAAATAGACTCTTAGTGTTTAAATTGTTGCGCAATTTGAAATGTCGTGCAAGCTTTTTTAAGCGAATGAAAGTTTAAGGCATTTTAACTATTTAAAAAAAAATCATAGTGTGGATGTAAAATCTTAGAAATAATTTTTATGCATAGCGACAAATATAAAGGCAATTGCTAACGGTATTAAGTAAATTAAGTTTAAAAAGATAATAAAAAATAAAAAAATATGCAGACTAAAATATACAAACAAATATATACAGAAAAAAAATATTCATTTATATTTTTGCCAAATATTAATTTACTTAACATATAGCTAACAGTTAGTTGTTTAAGGGCTTATGGCTTTGAGACAGTTAAATAGATAATTTAAACTGCAAAGCATATTTCTTGCGCAACTTACGTTTTATTAGCGAAAACAAGTTTTTATTTTAAATTTTATTTTTAATTAGTTTAAATAAGTAATAAATTGTGCTAATATATTTAAATTTTTGAAATAAGTTTTTTTCAGAAATGGTTCATAAATACAATATCGTCGATAACTGAAGTGGCAAAACAACAGCTTCATAAGTTGTGCTAAATGTTGGCTTTAACCGTATATTTAAGCTTTGGCAAACAAATCTTTTTTAATTCCAGCTTTTAAAAAGTGATAACTTAGTTAACTAAACAGATTTATTTAGTTAAACATGTCTAAAAATATTCATTACGACATGTTTTAAAAGTTTTTTTTCGTTAGCGTATTGTTTCGAAAGTGACGGTTTTAAAAGTTTTTGTTAAAAACTTTTAAAACAAATTATGCAATAATGAAAAAGAAAACACTTTTAATTACAATTTTTATGGGTTGTATAAAATTTAATGAATTCTTAAATCATAATAAATCAATATAGAATCAAAGAATGTTCATATGGAAAATAATCATCTCGGCTAACCAGGATAAAAAAGTACCGAGATCTCACCCTTACTTTAAGTAAAAATCATTAAACCCGCCGCACAGTGGTGCAAAACCTCAAAAAATTGGCTATAATTCAAAATTTTTCAAAAGATAAAAATAATTTTTTATTTTTTTTAAATGAAGTATGCTTCTTATGTAATCTAAAAATATATAGGTTTGTTATTTATGTTTGCTAACAGGACCGCTAGACGGATTTAAAAGACGTCATTTTTGTAATAAATTTCCATTAAAAAAGTGCAGTAGTTACAATTTCAATTTTTAAAAAAAAATTATTCATAAAATAAATTTTTTTTTGTCAGTATGTTTAAAATATCTTAACTTCTACGTCAAATAGATTTCACTTACTTAGAATGAAAAAAAAACTTTCAAAAATTACTATAAAAAAATACAAAAAAATGAAACTTTTTATAATTTTGAATTCGCTACATCCTTCTCAAGCTAATCTAACTCAATCTTTATAAACTTCTGGTTATGGTAATACCTCATAAGAAAATTGAGTGTATATATTCATGCATTATGATAAATTTTTAGCTACTAACACGCAACCTTTTTTTTGCTCTAATATTCTTAATGTTTATAATTTGCATAAAATAAATATAAATGCAAAAAATTTAAAAACTTCTATAAATACCAATAATTATGTCATGTTGCTAGGTTAAAAAAATTTACTTATAAAGTCGAGTACTTTTGATGCATTTGGCGATAAGTAACAAAATTTTTTTGAGTATTATTGGAATCGCTTTATTTATTTCCATAAAAACAAATTTTCTATTCTAATCAGTTATACAAAAAATATGATATAAATAAGATTATGGTGCAAAGACAAAAATAATATTTATGAATTTATATAAAAATAACATTTTAAAAATAACATTCGATCTCTTCTTCTTTGTCTGCCTCTTTTTCCTTGTTGATCTCTTTTTCTTTATTACTCTCTTCTTCTTTAACCAATTTTTTCTTCCAAGTCACTGTGGTTGGTTAAATTTACTTTTTTAGTATAAAGTTTTTGTTTTGTTTTAGTAAAAAGACATTTTTTATTGATTTTAAAGTCGAGAACTGTTGATGCATTTTGGTGGTTTTTGAATCGCTTTTATTTCAATAGAAACGAATTTTTTTGGTTTAACCAGATACACACAACAGATATACACATTTTGTTTCGCACACTTCCCCAAAAACCACTACAAAAAAGATAAAAATAATGATTTTTTAAGACTTTGTCTTTAATAAACTGAATTTTTATTTGCCTATTCGGATTTTAGAAATGCTAGTAAAATTGACTGGCTTAGAAATATTTGAACATATAAAAACATAAATAAATTCGTCATGAAGTGTTATTGCTGAAAAATGCAGAACAAAAAAAAAAACACCTTATTATGATCTTAATTCAATACTTAACTAGAAAATCAACTTTTCAGAACACGTATTTTTACTTACGTTAACCAATTCAAGTTGGTTAACGTAACCAATTTGTAACCAAATGCAAAATGATCAAATACAAACGTTACAAAATTCGTTTCTTAAAGTGCGAGTTCAATTGACTAAAGAGTTTTTTAATCAACAAATTGATTGCTGCATGAAACAGTGCTATCCAGCCTTCTTCTTTTATTTGGAGCAGTATTTCGGGATCTCTTGATGAATCAAATAAAAAAACAAGAGGTTTTTTATATAAATAAACTAATATTTTTTATAAATAAAGTTTAGGAAATAACGAACCAAATTAATAAGCAAGTTGAAGAAGAAGAGAGTGATAAAAAAAAAGAGACAGGAAGGAGACGCAGACAAACAAGAAGAGATAGACAAGGAAGAAGAGGCAGTCAAAGAAGTAGAGATCGATAAGGAAGAAGAGACAGATGAAGAAGAAAATGCTTTTTTTAGTTGATTATTACAAGACTTGAATAATAGACTTGATAAATAGTGATGTTGATTTGCTTGAGTACTATTATGATTAATATTAATTAACTGACATAGTAGTTTTAAGTAAATAATTATTTTGATAAATTTTATTTTTATATACAATCATAAATATTATTTTTGTCTTAGCACCATAATCTTATTCATATTATATTTTTTGTATAACTGATTAAGATAGAAAACTCGTTTCTATGGAAATAAATAAAGCGATTCCAATAATACTCAGAAAATTGTTGTTAACCATCGCCAAATGCATCAAAAGTACTCGACTTTATTGTTATAAAAACTAAAAAACCTAATAACTTGAACTGAATTTTTTTATTGATGATTTTATACTGAATTGGTCCATCCTTAAAACAGCGCCTGCATATAACAATATTTCCAACAAATGCATACTATGTCTACAAGAAAAATTTCAAATAATTACACATGCAAACCAAGAATGTTTGTTAAACAAAAAATCGGAATTGATTCCTAAATGCAGGCACGAAAATAAGTTTCTCCTAAAAAACTATAAAAATAAGTGAGCTCAAATAATAGTTACATTAAATCCCCCCTTTTTTAAAAATATTTTTATATTAAAAAAAAAAAAAAAGCGTAAGTAATCATTTCTGAAGAATTCTTTTTATAATAGTGTCAGCAAATTCCACAAATGTGTGAAAATTTACAGTAGTTAAAACATTTGCGACTTCCTGTAATTTAATTTTTCGGTATAAATTGAAGTTTTATTAATTTGATCATTCATTTCTGATGAGTCTTTGTTAATGAAACACAGTGTAAAATGAAAAAAGTTTTAGTTAAGTGATTTTCTACTAATATATATATATATATATATATATATATATA